GTTGTAGAGGAGGTCTTTGCGGTTCTAGAGATGGTAAAATCGCTAAAATTGACCCAGTACATCACGAGATATTAACGATTTACATTTCACGATCATATGAAATTTTCTTTGTCTATTTACAAAGAAAATTTCATATGATCGTGAAATGTAAATCGTTAATATCTCGTGATGTACTGGTCAATTTTAGCGATTTTACCATCACTAGAACCGCAAAGACCTCCTCTACAACTTTTATTAGGTCAAAGAAAGTTTACTTAATAAAAAAAAAAATAGTTTTCATAGTACCCCTGGTGAAAAACTTTTAATGCCCGCCGATTTTTACTATGATGCTTATATGATTCTTATACCCTTTAATGGCGAACTACGTACCTCTTAATTAAATTCTAAAATACGGTAATTTATTATTTATAATAATAATAATATGATTATGTAAGGATAGTTTTATATAGATGGTAAATAAAAAATTGTGATACTGTAGTAATTACTGTATAATACAAAAATGCTTATACGTATAGAGGTGAAAATTATAGGATATATAAATTTACAAAAGTGATTATATTAAATTTGTACGTAACTATATAGAGGGTGACCTATAGAGATTTGAGTGTATAAGAAACCACCTTTCGTGCACTAATTAAAAGTTTTCCTTGAAACTAATATATACCGGCCCCCATTTTTGGACTACCGCTACTATTTCGCCGAAAGTTTAGCCCGATTTAAACCTGATATCGATATAGTACGTAACACCTGACACAGTAGTACAAAAAATGTTAAAATTTGCAATGACATTTTTTAATAGCATTAATCTTTCGCTTTACCATAATCACGATAATGCGTATGGTGAGCTATTGTCCAACAGATGAAAAGGCCCGTGAAAAAAAAACGGATAGTAACTTTTATTTGGTTTAGATTAATCAAGACGAAGAAGTTGAAGCTGAAGTTACTTGGGAAGATCAACAAAAAATAAATTCGTTCAGTAAATTGAACGTTAAGTTCTCAGACTTTGAAGAAAGATATGAGGAAAAACAGGTAGTTAACATGGATCATCAAACTTTAACAAATTTTTAGTTTTCATAGGCTGAATTTAAACTTTTCAATCAAAGAAAGAACATGAATATCTTGATGATCTATTACTAGAACTAGAACAACAAGAACTACTAAATGATGAATGTGAACTTGTCAAGTTAATTATTTTCTTGTATAATTTTATTTATAATATCAATTAAACGAAATTATAATTTTTATATTTTCTAAAGATACAAAATAGGTGATGCGTTTGTTTCAATTCCTTTAGAAGACGCTGTACAACGCACCAAAAAGGAAAAAGAACTCTTTTCAGGTGAATTACAAAAACTCAAGAATGAAATGGACTCTTTAACTACTGAGATGGATAAATTGAAGGTGTCACTATATGGAAAATTTGGCAAGGCTATTAATTTAGAGAAAGATTGAGGATAATAATTTTGTATATTACACAATTCATTAGTTTATTCATAATCCTTGAACACTAATCATTACCATATTCTATAATCAACATTGATGAAGTTGTAATATTACAAAAAATTTATTATTGTATAACGAGTTGATAACTTTATTAGTAATAAACCAATGTTTAAACTACGGGCTCGAGATTTGATGTTAATTCACATAGTTAATCGCGTTCAGCCAAAGGATTTGCATGAATTGTAATGGATTTGATTCGTATCTCTTGAACAGGACGACTTTTTTCATCGACGGGAACTTTTTCGATAGCATCCAATGTTGTGTCGGAACCATCAATGACTCTAAAAAAATTGTACATTATAGTTAAGTAATCAATTAAATAATATATGAATATTACCCATTGAGAAAATTTATGCCTAAATTACCCGGATATCCGGGTTACAATAGAGATTGTATTCAATCAAGAATATTCCTACCCGGGTATTATTAAATTATCCGGGTAATTGATTACAACCATGTTACAATCTCTACTACCCAGGTACAATGCTAATAGATATTTACGATACATACTTTCCAAATACCGTGTATTTTGTATCGAGATGAGGCAATTTGGTGTATGTAATAAAAAACTGAGATCCGTTCGTATCCGGGCCATTGTTGGCCATGGAAACAATTCCTCGGGCGTTATGCTGAAATAATATCATCATTTCAGTAACTCTTAACAATTCTGCACACATAAAAATAAGTGATGAAATAATCACCTTTAATGATGACTTAATTTCATCCGCAAATTTTCTTCCCCAAATTGAATTTCCGCCTTTACCCGTCCCCGTTGGGTCGCCGGTCTTATGTTTATTAGGAAAGTTAATATAATCATAATGAAATTCCAAATCAAGTCAACGAAGAAGAAGAATTAGTATGGAATTACCTGAACCATAAACCCTTTTATGTTTCTAGCATTAATTTAAATTTTAGATCATATTAATACGATTTTATAATTATAAATCCTATAAATCCTACATATACCTATGAAACAAATTATTATCATAATATCCACTGGCACAAAGTGCTAAAAAATTCTATTAAAAAGTTTTTTATTAACAAGAATGAAAACAAGAAATATACAATATTGTTTAGGTATTAATTCAATACAAACCTCTGCCGTTTTAGGAACTGCTTCACAAAAAACTTCAATCTTGAGATCACCCAAATCTGTATGCAGAGTAACAGACTACATGTTTAATTAAGATAATTGTTTATAAAGTTTGATCAGAAGCAATAATAATTTTAGGCCTAACCATTTGCTCTCACGAAATCCTTTTCTTTTTTTTTTCTAATCGTGATTGCAAACAGCGTGATGAGGACACATTTTATATCTTTTTATGGTATCACAAAGGCAACAGCCAATTGTGCTACATAAGGAATAAATTGGAATTATTTACCAAACGTATTATGGATTCTGGGTACAGTGTACTACTCAGCGTTTTATTTCTCACCATTTTATGTGCTCTAGTCTTTCAGTGTTCCTTAAGTAGATTTCTGCCTTTTTTTTTTTTTTTTTTTTTTCTAAAAAAATATTAATTCCAAATAACCTTTGGGCTCAAATTCAGCCTTCGAAAAAAAAAAAAAATAAATAAATGGCAAAACCAGATTTGAGTGATTTATTTTATTACATCAAGCCACAAGGTGAAGTAACTGTAGTTTATTAAAAAAACAGACAACAAAAAGCCTTTAAAGTGTTCTAATGTTACATACTTTTATAGAACAAAGCAATCATAGTTCGCTTTCACAAGGAACAGCGAGTGACTTAAGCGAGAACATAGGACCAAATTTAAACGACTCTGACTTAACAGCCTATTACGATCGATTTGTTCGACCGTATAAAGAAAAAGGGGTTGAGCGAGACCCTACATATTTTCATTATATTAATAACCTTCCAGGTGATTTTTTAGGATAGGAAAAAAAAAAAAAATCACATTTTCATGATTAGATAGTTACAAAAGGTCTTAAGTTTTTTTTTCTTTTTTGTGGGGATTTATGTGGGACAGGAAAAGTAAAGATAATTCCAGATAGAAGTTTCAGAAAATTCTTTGAAACCAAAAATAAAAGAAAATGGGGCAAAAAATATCCACCAGAAGACTATCCACTAGATGTTAAAACTATCGAAAATAATATGTTGAACTTACTTAAGCCAGGGCAAATTCCAGGAGTAAGTATATTGTTATTATTTTACTAGGCAAGGAATTTCTGACTATAATAGACAAACATTCAAATAAAATTGATGGATATGTGCATGATAGTTTAATCCGGCAGAATTTGGCTTAGACGATGAGAAAAAATCATATTCAACGTCATGTCCAACGTCAACACATAATAATAATAATAATACTCGTTCAACAAAAAGTAGCACCAGTAGTAATTTAGAAATGGGTATGCATATTTAAAAAGTCCGTTGATCGCATAATAACCATTTTGAGAAAAAAATAACATAAAATTTGTCGCGACAATGCTGTAATAGCATCCAATACAGCAACTTTGGACGGAGATGATCGGACACATGAGAAGAAAAAAGTATGTTAATTTGATTATTTCTGTTACACAATTATTAGTATATCATGAAGCTAAAAATGTCATGACACATAGAAAAAGAAGCATAAACATGAAAGTAATTATGATGAGAAAAAAAGAAAACATAAACATGATAAAGAACACAAAAAACGAAAAAAAGTTGGTATTGATGCGGCTTTTATGAATCATCGTTCCTTGAGCACGACCGCATAATTAATCAAAATGACATAATCAAATAGGGGAAAGAAAGGTATAATTAAGATAAACGCTTTTCTAGGTTGGTTTATTTCGTGAAAGCTTTACATTGATTTCTTAATCTTATTAATAACAGGTAATAATAGAATCAGTAATGTCTTATCCATTTATTTTTGTTATCATTTTCAGAAGATATACTTTTCTCTTTTTCTGTACATATATAAATTTTTTTTTAATATTAATAATATTCAGATAAAAAAAAAAAAAAGGGAAAAATTTTCAAAAATTACTTGCTATCGAAAAAATTATATATATTTTATATTTATATTTATATATGCATATTATACATTGGTTATAGATCTGTCGATCAGTTAATCTGTTATTGTATTGTTATTGTATTGTTATTGTATTGTTATTGTATTGTTATTGTATTGTTATTGTATTGTGCAATGATTATTATTATTATTCTTGCCATCTAAAAATTCAACGAATTGCAAATTTTGAGCAACGTAGTAGTCATGTTCTATCGCCAACTCCTCTTCAACAACACCCGGGTGTATACGTTGTAATTCATAAAAAAGTAAATAACCATGCCGACTGAATTCGCTAAAAAGTAAAGTCATATCCTGCAATGTGCTAAACTCTCTTACTTGTTCGCCTATATTAAATATCAAATATCAAATATCAAATATCAAATATCAAATATCAAATATCAAATATCAAATATCAAATATCAAATATCAAATATC